TCGATGGGCTGAATTGCACAAAACGCGTGATCGCACCGGCTAGTCTGGTGCGCGTTGCTGTTTATTTAAAACTTATACTGCTGTTGTTCTCTCTGCACTTTTTATAAAGCGGTGTTTTTCTGTGGTCTATGAAATTTGATTGCTTTGTTGTTACTCTGTCAAGGTCTTGCTGTCAGTTTGATAGTCGTGCGGAGCAAAAGGCACTCCTAAACAGATTAAATTTTTTTCGTGAATAATGATGCCGAAATGTTTAAGTCGATCAAGGCAGCGCTGAAAAGAAACGAATTGTATCAAAAGATGTGAACTAATTGATTGAATGAGGAGAAGCGATGGCACGTAGTTACTTATAAGGTATACTTGCATCCAGACCGCAAGTCCAGAATCTTTTGAGGCAGATAAGGGAGCTAAGGAACGAAGAAAATTGAATCTGTTCGCTGTAACGCGATACTTAAGATGTGCCAACACAATGTTAGAGCCTATTATGGTCTGACTGTGAATGTCCGTTTCGTTATCTCCGCCTTCGGGATAAATTTTCGAATCAGCGGATATTTCTAAAGATGATAAGAGGCTTGCCATAAGTTTAGTTCTAAGCGACGCTCAAAAAAGAGTAGCAGTTAGCATCCTGACCAGGGGATGGATGCTGATGGAACGTGCCACACTCGCAATGCTTTTGGGTGCCTCTGCCTCTTGTGGGATGGCGAATACGGAGTGTGTTTTGAGTTTCTGACAGAATATTCGCTTTGAATGTGAGAGTGTTACTTGATGTAAGCTGTTGGAGTTAAAGCACTGTAACTGACATTGCAACTTACATTGTTTCGTTGTGAGCGAAGAATGAGAAGGGTTGTAAGGAGGGAGAGAAACAGGTTCAGGAAAGGATTCAACAGATTTTAAAAACTCTCTGTTAATGCGAATCTACGGAAGAACAATACTGGGACCGTTCAGCAACTAATGAGCATATCTGTGTGCACTTGCCTGGAACTCTGAGATTCAGCTGACAAAAATAAGATAAGAAAACAAGATTTCATTGAGGTTTAGCTGACAAAAAAGAAGCTAAAAAATGAACTCTGTCTTGTAAAATGTATTTTGCATGCTTTTCAGCAGAAGGACGTTCCGGTGGCTATAAAAAGCATTGCGAAGAAGAGTTTAACGAAATCTAAAAATTTGCTTACCAAAGAAATCAAAATACTCAAAGTAAGCTTCTTCTTTCATCCATTGAGTCAACAATTGATTATGCGGATGCCTGGTTGCTTCAGTAATGCCAAAATCTCGTTGTTTTTCGTTCCACACCATTTATACTGGTGGCGGCTTCCCCGTTCCACCCAGTTTCAGTTTATCCCATCCGTATAACTCCATCCAGCGGACTAGTAAAAGGCTATCATTCGTTCCACAAGTGGTATGTTTAGCTTTCTATAGGGAACAAAAAGCGTACGAACATAAGAAAGGCAACTTTTTATGCGTTTTGTGCTACAGAAGCTGCGCAAAACGCATGTTGCTGAGACCCTGTCGTGTATATGTATGTATGTATTTGTATATGTCTGTACATATGTATGTATATGTATGTACATATATGTATGTATACGTCTTCCAGGTGCAGTTTATCCGGGGTTTTCAGATCAGGACCAAAGAAGCTAGGAAGCTGAAAAATGTTCCCTGTCCACGTGCGACCCTGCAGATTCGGCCTTCAGTTGCACCCGGGTACTACGTACGACCCCATGGAAACTTTGACAAGAATTATTATTTCGGGGGCCAAAAAAGCTAGGAAGCTGACATTTTGGTAGAATGTTTCCTGCTTACGTGCGACCCATTCAGATCTAGCCTTCACGTACCTCCGGGACCCGTATACGCCACGAAACTTTTGGCGGGGAATTTTTATTATCTCGGGAACAACGAAAGCTGGGAAGCTGAAATGTTGAGGTAATGTCCCCTGCCCTTTTACGATTCAGCAGATTTAAACTGAGCTCTTCCGCGTGCTCGGGTACTCTGTATGGCCCCGTGAAAGTTTTGGCCAGGAAAATTACTATTTCGGGAACCACGAAAGCTGGAGGGTTGAAAATTCCCTTGAATATATGCGACGCCGCAAATTTAAATTCCAGCGTTCCCATTCGCTCCCGCACTATGCGTCGCCACGTGAATGTTTCAATAGGGAAAATTACTATCTCGGGGACTATGAAAGTTAGAAAGCTGGAATTTTGGGACAATCTCCCCTGCCCAAAACTAAAATGAGCTTCCACGTAAGTCTGGGTCCATGTTTGATTCTGTGAAGGTTTTGGGGAGAAAAATTATCTCGAGAGCGAGAAAAACTGGGAGGTTGAAAATTAGGAGAATGTTTCCTACTTATGCAGGAATCTAACAAACTCAGACTCAGCTTCCGATTATGACGAGGTCTACGTGAAGCCGAGTGGTAGTTTTGACGCGAAAGTTATTGGGCAGCCAGGGAACTAGGAGATTGAAGTTTGAGACAGTGTTCACCGTTCAGGGTTTCAAATTCAGCTGTCATCACGTTTGTTTTTCATGTGCTGGTAAGTAAAATTTTCAGTGGGGAATTTCGCAGCTTAGGGATCAACCATATCGGATATTTTTGCACTGACCAAAGTGTTAAACAGTGAAAATCCTTAGATGGCAAACATCCACTGGTCAAAACTGCTTAAAACGCATGATCGCGCCGGCTACCACGGTGCGTACCGCTGTTTATTTATTTTTCTGTTATTTTGTCATTCTGTTATTTTTTTATTTGTATAAGACAAGCGACAAAAATACAAGTAAATATATCATATCTTTTCTTTTCTATCATATATTTTCTATTCCTACCATTTCTTCTATCTCTTTAACGTCTTCCAATTTTTCTACCCTTTTCGTTTCTTCCGATTTCCATCTCTTTCATCTATTTAATTCTTACACCTCACTTAATTATATTGTTACCACAGACGTAATACTGACGAGGTCCTACTGTGGTAGCGGTAAGAAATGTATACAACTTAATGGACCGAAACATTTCTTACCTAATTTAACAATTCTTTACAGCCTTTCTTTTTGTTCATATTTTCTCCAAAAGCCTAAATGTGTAAGATTGTGTGCATACAGGCATGTGTATGCTTTATGTCAGCGATATGGTGAGTCTTCTAGGGCTTTTTTTACTGTTTTCATTTTGAATTTTGATAAAAAAGGGTGCTGATTTTTGCAGGAATTATCGAATTTACAGCATGAGAATTTAGTAGCGTTATTGAAATGCGTGGAGACGCCGACGCACGTTTTCCTGGTAATGGAATACTGTAATGCAGGAGATCTCGGTGATTATTTGCAGAGCAGAGTTACGCTTCCGGAAGTCACTATCCAGCATTTCCTTGTTCATATTGCTCACGCTATCGAAGCAATCAACAAAAAAGGAATTGTGCATAGGTTGCTTTAGTTCTTCCACGTGGTTTTATAGAAATTCTTTGTGTATGTGCGAAACCTGCAGCTGAGAGGTGAAACACAGATTGCTTCCATGTTCTGGTCACAGTCAAGTCACAGTCAAGCACAAATAACGAATTTTGCATTAGAAAATGGGAAATTTTTAATGGGAAATTCCGTAGCTTTTTAATCAAATAACGTATGGACTACTTTTGCACATACCAAGGTGTAAAAAAGAGAAAATTCTTAGAAGCAAACGTCTGCTGGACCGAATTGCGCAAAACACATTATCGCATGGCCACCTTGGTGTGCGCCTCCAGTTATATGCTTCAAAAGTAATTTATTAATCGTGTGTCTTATAAGATTAATTTTGTTGGGAGTACTAACACCACGTTGTTAATTTGTTAGAGAAAAAAAAAATTGCGGCCGTCCGACTATTACTTTTATCAACAATTCGAGAAAAGTTGTTACTTTGAATAAACGTGCCGTGGAATAGCAGTGCTGTCGTAGCAGTATGGGGAAATAAAGAAGTGAAGGAAAACGAATACCGTTGAAGTTGATTTATGTAGTAACGTATCAGTGAAACATATGTGTCGGTGTGAATTTTTAAAAACTCTAGAAACTGACCGATGTGAAGGAAGATGTATGCTAAACGGTAACAAGCATATAATGTAAAGGCAATATTTGTAGTTAATCTTGCGGGTACTTCAGCGACACAGTTCAGACAAATTAATTTCTGTTGGATAATTGCAGGGATTTGAAACCTCAGAATTTGTTGCTGTGCAATCCAAGTCAACGACCGAATCCTCCGGCTACAGATCTGATTGTAAAACTTGCTGATTTTGGTTTTGCTCGCTTTTTAGGCGATGGACACATGGCAGCTACTTTATGTGGGTCGCCAATGTATATGGCTCCTGAAGTTAGTTCCATAGAATTTTTGCTTCTCCGTGTAATTGCAGTTTCGAAATGCCGTATTGTTTGGCCTGTGAAAGTTTCTACTTTTTTAAATCAAAACAAAAAAAGGCTTGTGGCAAAATCGTCTGTTTATGTCATGTTTATGTGTGTGTGTGTATGTGTGAAATTTTGCCTACAAATTGTACCGAAAAGTTATGATACTCTTAGTGGTAGTCATGATTCCTCACAAGGACGTCAGAATTAGAACAGAATAAGTTAGTTTTAATTCTCTTCTTACTTTATAGGCCTAATGAGTGTTTTGTGCCCTGGCTAGGCTGGTTGGTCTTACCACTTGCTTGTGCTTGAAAAAAAGTAAGGGGGAGTAGTATTGAGGGGAAGTAGTAACACGAAAAATGGCATAATGGTATACTTGTCAGTGAATTCATTTTATTCTTGTGCTCGTGTATCAGAATTTCGCGCTTGCCTTTTCGTGTGAGTAAAAAATGCGGTTGCATGAGATGGCATATTGTTGTAATTGTGATTTTGTGGTATTGCATTACAGTGCATATTATCATAATTGAAATTTTTTTTATTATCATAATTGAAATCATAATTGAAATTTCAAGCAGTGGTCTACTTGAGAAGAGGAGAGGCAGAGAAGAAGCCCAAACGCGAGGAGAAATGCGGATGCGGCGCAAGTGTACCGTAATTTGGCCAACGGAATAAGTTGAACAGAAACGAATAAAAAAGAATATTTGTTATTGGATTTACAGGAATTAGATTGCGCAAAAGTATTTATTCTCGATGAAATAGTAACAAATTAAGGTGTCCGCCTATGCGGCAAATACACTGAGAATTCTTTGGTAAAACTAGAAGAAAACTACGTTTCGCCGGAGGACTCGGGATAACGATCTAAAACGACAGGAAAGAAGACGATGACGATCCAGAAGCCGAAGAGGGAAAAGCAGGACAAGATCTGTAGAAAAGGCGCCAGCGGCGGGAGGAGCAGATTGTATGCTGGTTTAATCACATCCTATCGTCGAAGGATAACAAGTTGCATTCAGAGTTAAAAGTTATGGTGATTATTTACGATGGTAACGGTTAAATGCGAAACAGCGCCGATTTAATCGTCGGTAATAAAATGAGCGGAAAATGTCTATTTTCAATATTATAATAAAACGTATGTTTTTAACATAAAACAGTTTATTGCCGTTCGACGACAATGAAAAATTGAGTCAAGGTGTGCCAGATTAGCCACAAAGGCCTCAAGGTTTAGTCTGAGAATGCATCAAAACGGGGGACTGACCTTAAAGCATGGAAAACAGCCCAGTAAAGCGCAAAAGTAGGAAGGATTGTCATTTTGGGCAAAAAACTCCAGAGTTCTGTCTATCGTCACTGTTGAGAAGCTGGATATGGGACCGGTCAGTAATGTCATGCATTTCAGGTAATAATGTCACTGCAGTATTGTGCGAAAGCCGATCTCTGGTCCGTAGGGACGATTATTTTCCAGTGCCTGACGGGTAAAGCTCCATTTCAAGCACAAACACCGCAAGCACTGAAACAGTTCTACGAACGGAACAAAGAGCTTCGGCCGAACATACCGACATATTGCAGCCCGTTATTAAAGGATTTATTGCTCGGTTTGCTAAAAAGGAATTCCAAGGATCGGTTAGAATTTGGTAAGATTTGGACTCCTGAACAAGTACCAGAAAAAATTTCCAAAAAATTGAGTCCGTGCATTTTTTTTTTTTTTTATTTTCTTTTTTTTGATTCAATTTTCGTCCCGGGCTCTCGGGTGTCACTTACGCCCTCATGAAAATTTTGGCCGGTAAACTATTATCTCGAAAATCACGGAAGGATATTCACCCTTCAAGGTTTCAAATTACAGTGCAGTAGAAATCATTAATAGGCAGTCGTTCGGTGAGCGGATTGCACCGGCTAGTCTGGTGCGCGTTGCTATTTATTTTGCGTT